TTGAAATTTTATATTCTAGCATAAACTATGAATCCTAAACATAGGCAGCATGGTCTTTTCTTTGGAACTTGCTACACAAATACATCAATTATGATAATTTAATTGGACATGCTTTTATTTTATTAAAAATAGCTGTTTGAAGAGTTCGAGCCAGTTAGTTCAGGACTGTCAATGGCCAAAGCTAAAACATTTCATATTACTTGTGCTACCTTTAAGGAATGCAAAGCCAAACAGAACAAATAATCTAAGTGAGTGCTTAGCTTATCTACTAATACTTTGTATGTAGCTGTCTGACGATTTACAATTTCATTATTCCATTAATGGAATCAACTAATAAAACATGAATGCAAAGTCCAAGTACTTTGGACAGTCACCAAAATCCCATGGTGGCATTATTTTCCAAAATAAATAAAAGTTTGACTCTTAACACAATAGTGACAGCAGATATAACTTAAACTGAGAGAAAACATGAGATTTTCATTTGTTTAACATGGCCGGCCTCAAACCCTCAGTTTGTTCTCTCTGCTTCCTCTTCTCTTTTTTGAAGTTTTTCCATTAGAGTAACTTGGGGAACATAAAAAGAAATGCAGAAGCAGGGCCCACTCTACTGATAATACACACCATCACAAGATGAAGAGACACGATTCCTAGAGTAATGCACTTAGTGAACACAGAGGCAGAGGAGAGAAGCCAGCAATGAAGTATGCTTTACAATTACTGTTTCCACACAGAATTCTTTTGAGATCAATAACGCAAGAATCCCATTCATTCTGATAAGATTTATTTAGTTTTGAATGCTATGAAAAGTAACTGCAGCACATAACATAGGCACAGTAATAACTTCACTGGAGTACACTGGCCATTGTAATTTGGATCACTGTGAAAGCCATTTTTTACTACAAAAGAAAATGAGCCTTAGAAGTGGGTGGACAGGCATCAGTGTTTAAAGAGATGTGTTGTATAATGTCTGCCACTGAAACCTTTGAAACAGGAAAAGCAAATAGTCTTCAAATTAAGATATGAATGCAGTTACAATGTTTCAATGTGGAATCAATGGATTGGAGGGAGAAAACATTCTGGCAAAGCACTGATCCAGCAAAGTATTCAGGCAACTTTAAGCATTCAACAGCCCTGTCAAAATAAAAGGGGAGTAACTTGAAGGTAAAAACATGTTTAAATATTCTTCTGTTTATTTGCTAAAAGTCATCTGCTAATTACCTTTACATACAATCAACCTTTCCAAATTTAAACAAGATTTCAGAGAACCCTCTTAAATCTCTGGTGAATTAAAAGTATGTCCTACCTTAAACTAGGATCTAGAGAATGGAGTCAATATTTGTTCTTATTTTTAGATTTACTTTCAGTGATTTGTGTTGCATTATTTAATAAAACACATAACTAAAAATCTTTCTGGCAAGCAATGACACAGAATTAGGGCTGAAGAAGTCTCAAAAGGTCACCCACACCAATGCTTCCCAACCTCTTCAGATCTAAACCTCCCCATAGCCTTTCTGGAAAAAAAAATAAAAATCAGAGGCCCCAGTTTGCTTCTCTACAGCTTTCTGCTTAATTTTGTTCACCTGAAATTTCTTGCAGTTCCTTCTGGTGTCTTATGGTTCAGTGACACAGATTTAGTCCATTCTACTGCTTAATATGTGATCAACCAGGTAGTTATCTAACCTGTTTTTAAAATCCTCCAGTGGCAGAGACACCACAATCTCTCCAGCCAAACTATCACAGGGATTTATCTACCTGAACTTTTGGAAAGGATTTCCTAATGCTGACTTACACCCCACAGCAATGTAAACCTGTTATTTTTTTGTCCTAATTATGATGAATCACCAATATATTATTTTTTTTCTCCCCATGACAAACTTTTTAATACACTGAAGGCTTATTAATGACTCTCCTCAGTCTTCTCTATAGGCTTCACAAGCTCACTCCCTTTTATTAACCTTTACTGGAGACGTTTTCTAAATCTCTAGTAATTTCTGCTGCTCTCCTCTTAAGTCTTTCCAACTGTCCACACTCTTCATAAACTAGTGCCAAAACCTTGGACTTCAGAAAGACTGAGAAGCACAGGACTGTATCCCCCTTCTTTGAGGGGGAAGAGTCCCAGTACAATTACTATTTTTTTAGTACCAATACAACATTGTGAACTCCCATTCCTTTCCCAGAGAACTGTTACCTAGCTAGTTGCCTCTGGTTTAGTACACTTGCAACTGTTTGTTGAACAGTTGCACATTTTTACAGATCTCTTCTAACTGCGACTCTCCTCTTTTGACTGTGAACTATTTCCAATGCACTGTTTTCCAACCTTTTGATATCCACCTCATCTAGACTGGAAAGGTACTGCATTGCACAATCAGAAATAACACTGAGAGTCAAGATTTTATATGTGCTTATTAAGATTCAATTTAAAAAACCTTAAGAGTTTATAAACACCGATTTTGTACTGTCTTCCAGCCTAGGTGCACCAGTTAAACTTGTGGAAACTGTAGCTCTAAGGTCTGAAGGGAAACAAACTCTCCTCTGAGTCCACACTTGGAAAAAGCAGAGGCTGAAACTGCACAGAAATTAAAACCAGGGGGCCTTGATGTCTCCCATGAAGTTGGAGGTAGACAAACCAACACCAACCAAGAAGAAAAGGAGCAATAAACACTGGCAAGTAAAAATAAATGTTCACTTAAACCATCAATATTCAACAAGAATAAATGCCAAATTCTAAAAGTCTATGTATCTATCTGCTGCTTCTTTCTTAGCCACAAGGCCTGTCAGAGAAGAAAATCAGATTACTTTGACATAATTTGGTCTCAACAAATCTCTGTTGACTATTACAATTGGCATATACAATTTGAGATGTCAAAAGATCTATATAATTGAAAAGGTAGGGCAAATAATTGAAGTTCTGATGGGCCTAACAAGAGAGTGTCGTAATAAAGAAATCACTCAAAGGAACTTAGTTCAGCACAGCAAGTAGTAAAAAATGCAGCTAATACTTAGCCAACTTGCTAAAAGAGAATTTTACTTCTACATTTATGTACACTGTATGGAGGAAATCATGAGCTTAATGTATATAACACAATACAAATCTCAGGAGAAAGGAAATTCTTTCCTTTTAACACTGCTCTTCTTGTGTAGTAAACTTGGTGACTGGCAGTACGTTTTCATCCAAGTATGCAAGCACACAAAATTACAGATACATCTCACTCCCCCAGTGACTTTGCAACATGTTGCTAGGTAACAGTGCATACAAGTCAGGTTTCAAGACCTTTAGTAAGTCACCATAAAATAAGTGCATAGGCCTTTTGCATGAATAATGTACATTTGTATAATTTTTCTGATGCCAATTGATCAGACATTGAAAACATGACCATCTGTCAAACTGTAAACAGCTCCCCATCAACTGCTACATGAAAAACAACACATCAAGATGCTGTATATTTTCTCAGCTTTCAGGCTTTCCCCCTTCTCTTGTTTTCTGCTCTCATTCTTGCTACATGCAGCCATCATGAGCACTACCATCTACAGGTCCAAATGTTGATGTGTGGAGCCACTTAGTTCACAGCAACTCAAATTTAAAATAGACATCAGAACAACAACATATATGGGACAGCTGTCAGATATTTAAAAAAAATGGATCTCGTATAGAGCTCAAATTTGAAACTCAATTTTAAAAATGTACAAGTAAAAAATGTACAAGCAAAGCAAAACAGACTCATTCTTGTTAATTTTTTGTTGGTCATAATAGTAAATTACATAAACAGACTTTTAAATTACTTTTTCTTAAAGGGGAGGTTTCTGCGGCTTCTTCCAACCCATACAGCAAACCATTTATGCAAGCCTATTTCACCTCAGCTCTTTTCCTGGATGGCTTCATGAAGCCTCAGGCTTCATTTTTTGTGCTTACTCATTCTACTTGATCCCTCCCAGAACTCCAATCCCAGAGGTATGAAGGTTTGGGCAGAGGAGGACAGCAAGCCTTTCCAAAATAAATGGCTGCAGTTTCACCAAGGCATTAGGACAGAGTCAATTCCTTAGTTTGCCTGACAATAAAATTTGCTAAAATGCAACTTACATTGCATTTAAAGGAAAAAGGTGACCAATTATTCTCTATTGAAAACGGTATCTTTCATCTTCAAAGTTGAAAACGTGCCACAGGGACTGCCATCTCCTTGTAAAACAGAAGTTCCCTCAATGACATTTTTCCTGATTTCTTTCTCTTTAAAAATTAAAGGCCAATTTTGAAAACATTTACTATGGAACATCCCCACAGCATGTTCACAATTCTGAAGCGTTCAGTCAAATCAATAAAAGAGCACACAAAAGACAACAGATTCACCCTAAACATATTTTCCACTTCGTAGCCTCATATATTAGTATAATTCTTATAGCAATAATCTGACAGTGAAAGAAAACACAATAAGCACATGCTTTGCTAGATTTCAACTAAAATAGTAAAAAAAATTAAAACCTGTTTATGCATCTTTAGGATTAACTTAAAAAAAATATTAATAATCAGGAAACACAGTAGCATTCATACTTCACATGTATTTATGAGTTAGACCTCAAATACCCTGAAAGGAAGGTGACCAAGAAGAAGGTCCTCTTTAAGAAATGTGTACAGGCAGAGAACCTAAGAGCTGAATTTTCTAACATGCTGGGTGCTCATGACCCAGAGTGATTTCAAAACCAGAACTACAGGTATTCAGTATACCTGAAAAATACATGGAATGAGATTTGCTGAGGTAATTGACAATGAACATGAAAGCCTGGATAAAATGTTCTCAGTCCTAATGCCAGCAAATAAACAGTAAAACCCCTCTCATTTCTGTTTCCCCTCTTCCCTCCATCACACACCTCTTATCAAAGAAACAAGAAATTATAAGTGAAAAAGTTGCAGTTTTTCTCCCTGCAATTCCATGAATTAGGAAACCCATGGCAAATTGTTTTGTAGACCATAAAGGAGCAGCTGATGCTGCTACTTGCTGCTCAATTACCTGACAGCTTCATAAGAAAATCTGATGCCATCTTGACAGAGATGTCTTGGCTGAATAGTGCTGATGCTGTATTGGCCACAAAGTCAGAGGAGTCTTTCAGCTTTGTGTTGTTGGGGGCTCTGTCAACAGTGCTAAGAGCAAAAGGTGCAGTTGAGATGCCACTGTCATCTTTGGGCTCTTCTTTCACTAGTAAAGGTGGAATAACTCCACTAGGCTGCCCAGCCACATCAGGTGTTTTAGATACAGATGCTGATCCCGTATGGTCAGGTCCACCTCCTTCCCTCTGTGGTCCTGGGCAGGAGTCACTATTTAGCTGTGGTGACCCTTTCACCTCAGTTTCTGGTATTTCCTCCTTCACTTTGGATTCTGTCCTAAGGAAATGTTGATGGCAACGCATATGGAGTTTCAGGCTGAAGTGGCGGGAGGAAGTAAAAGGGCATAGTTGGCATTGAAAGGTCTCACCCCTGTCTTGGTGCTGATGAACCTGGTTCAAGAGGTGAAAGATAAAAGCATGTATTAAGCAAAACAGTTTACTAGCATTACAGAAATCTCAGTGCTACTCTTCTCACACCATTAAAAACCAAAAGTGAACTAATGGGTGAACTCTTTGTTCTGAGTGCTTGGAAAGAGGTCAGGCACTAAGGATAGCAGGATCCTCTCACCCGTAAGTCAAAGAACATAAACATGAGAGTCATGTGAAAAAGAAAATCAGGAACATCTATTTCTGCAGCATAGAAATTATGAAGTCTGCTTTGGCTCAAACAGGCCTTACAATTGGATCTTGATGACCTGTCAGTGTATAAAGAGACTTTCAAGCCATGACTAGTAGCTTTCTTGATTAAAACCCCCCTTATCTATCACATGTTCTGCTAAGCATGATCATTCTGTGCAACCTCATAAATAACAATTGTTCAGAGCAACCCAGCAAAACACCAACCTGCACAGCAATGTCCACCATCGATTCATGTATCATTAGAGTGAAAGCATAGCACCTGGCAATACCAAGGCACTACTGAAACAGTTTGCTGCAAATTAATTCTACCTGAAAATAAACAGCTCTGTTATGATTACATACAAACATGAACGACAGTCTTTCCCATTTATTCCATTTTATCAGTCAATTAATGATGACAGTTAGTCTTACTAGCCTCATATTTTGTCTGCAGGCTCCTTGTCATAGACACTGCATGTTCCAGTGTAACTACTATGCCTAGTATCCTCAGGCCCACTGTAATTATCCTTCAAAGATAACTCTATCCATCCATCCTTCCGTAATGGTTTACATATTACTTGAACACACACTTGTTAATATGAACCATATCCATACAATTACACAATTGAGCCCAATATAATAGTGGTGGGTATATTGAAAAGTTTTTTTCCCAATAGCTTCACAAATGAATGTTAATTCCCAATAATTAATTCCTAACAGCGGCACTCCAGGCTCTTCCCTCCAGAAAGACTGGCAAATACATATATTTTTCCTTACTAATTGATGAACATGTGATCAGGACAAACTGGCACCAGAACCAAGCTCCACACATTCGCTTTTACTAGTGACTTGAGTTGGTTGGAAACATTTCAGTGAGTCAGATTTTTCTTGGAAAACGGCAATTTGGTGAAAGCAAAATATTTCTCCTGGAACATAGGGGAGTTTGATGAACTCTTGGCAAATGTAGGTGTGATTCCTTCACCCTACTGAGGGGCACTCCACCTTCCGCTCACTTAGCCAGCTGTGCCAGGGATCCAAGGCTCACTGCTGCAGCCTGTGAGTCCAAAAGCCCTGAGAGCTCCCACTCTAATCAAAGCTCAGCTACAGAATTCTGGGTTACAGTAGCATTCCCAAACACAAGTCCATCTATTTGGGCTGTAGCTTCCTATAGTTGTAGATTTGGTCTGATTAGTTCTCTATATATTAAGAGGAATTCAGTGACAAGCTCATTCCCAGCATTTCCAGCTCTACATAAACAGGACCTGGCAGGTCTGCTAAAATGTGAAGCTGGGAGATGTCCCTCTTTTAGCCCTTTTTGCATTCAGTGAAGACACATTTCATCAGTGCTGTATAACTTTTCATTCAACAGTTCTTCAAGGGCTCCAGCGATTAGGTACAAAACAAACAGATACAAAGAGAGAATTTTTCTTGGCCAGCCACTTTACAGAATGACATTCTCAGTATCAGATCAACACAATATTTATGGACAAACTAATTTTAGAATCTTAAAATCGTACCTGGCCACGAGAATAAAAAAATAGTAGCTAAAGCTAACCTAAGACAGTTCTAAAGCAACAATCTTGTAGAAGAATAGCAGCACAATAACAGGTTACAACAGAAATGCCAACCATATTGCACATCCATGTTACTAGAAACAGGATGGCCTGTGAGCACAGCAGTATGCAAGGACTCTTCCTCATGAAGAGCACTGAGATGTACTAATGGTAGCAAGCACTCTCACCATGGCAACTTTATCTCTTACACCCACTGAGATCCTGTGTGCCAAGGTTTCTCTCCAGGATCCCCTTCAATCAACATTTCCCTGCCTACATATATAACAACTTCTTCTAGAGGCCCCATATCACAGTCATCGATATGATGCCTTCTGAAGGCTGTCACTGTTGCAATTGGGTGGCAAAGTGTGCAGGAGCCCACCTTCTCTTCCCAGGAGCATGGCATGCCACCTCTGCAGTATCTTCTGAAAATGGATGAGAATAGAGGGGACTGATTAATCTGATTTGTATTTTTCTCCTGCCCAAAGACAATGGCAGCATTGCCAATGGACTTCTCATAAAATAAAGTATGTTTACAACTTGCAGCCAAGAACGACAAATTGCAAACACACATATTCAGTTATGAAAGGAGGAATTTGAGATTTAGAAAAAACCCATATGAAAGAACATGAAGTTTGATATTTAGCTCCCAGTCTCCTAGGTCCAGTCCCATCATAAGATTTCATTTTATTTTTCATTATCAAAAAATGAATATTAATATGTATTTTAAAATTTGAACACTATTAAAAATAGAAGGCGAGAATTTAAGTCCCTTTAAAGGAAAAACTATCTCTCATTTTCTCATTCAACAGCAGCTAAAAGAGCCAAGAATTGCCATTCTATGTTATTCGGAGGGAAAAAGTCAAGGCAGCAACAACTTGTTGCAGAATAAGAAACAAGAAACCCCGCAGAGCTACACAGAAAGCCACAGGGGAGATCCAGGTCACACAGTGCTACAGTCCAAAAAGCTGCCTTCTCCCTCCATAAGACAGGGGACAGCTCTCATTCTGTGCTAACGCTACCCAAACCATCGGATGTCCCCTTTAGACTCCACTAGGCTGTTGCTGCAAGAACCAGAGGCAGGAGACAAGAGAGCAGCCGACAGGTTTTCTCCAAAGTCCCACTCTGAGCCCAGCTGCTGCCAAACTTGGATCTCTAAATTATGCTGCCACAAACCACACAGCACAACCTATTCAGAGAATGGTTCTTTTGAAATCCCATAAAACTACTGTTTCACTTATGTCAGAAATATTGAAGGACTTCTACCTTCTGAGGTTAATTTGTTTAACCATGGATACTCTCCTTGACTGTGCAAAGTACCTGTATCGTCCTTATTTTACCCCTACAGTCTTTCCAATTTCAAATGTTATTTTGTGGTTCAACAGTTTTTTCATTGTGTGCTTGACATGATGTACTCAATAATTCTCAACAGAAATATACACTCCTTACAAATTTTAGGCCTGGTCTGAGGACTTGGATACAATGATCTATTGGGGGTTTGTTTTGTTTTGTTTTTGTTGTTGTTTGTTTTTTTTTTTTAAATGTGTTTCAGTCTCTCTTGCTGCCTTCTCATTCTCACATTACAAGAAAGAAAAAATGCCATCCAATTCATCTTCTCTATCACATGCATTATGATGATCACACCTCCTTTCTATACCTACCAGTCCCATTCTTTCCAGTTTTTTTCTTCAAAGAGAGTTCTTGCTATCCCACTAATCATTTTCACTGCCAGCTTTTAAAATCCCTTCTATTTCTGATACATCTTTTTGATGCAGTGACCAGAAGTGAATATCTTAAGTGGCAGCATACCATACGTTAATAATAGCATTGTAATACTTTCAATGCTATTTCTGTTTTATTCTTCAGACATTGAAATATCTAATGTATTTTTTAACCACTGTTGCACAAGCCAAGAAAAGGATTTCATTGAATTGTTGACAATGATACTCAGATATTTTTCCTGAGTAGTTACTGTTCATTATATCAGACAGCCAGAAGCATGATTACATCCTTGTTTCCAAGGTGCAGTACTTTGTATTTGCCCCCTTGTTTATCTGTCAACCAGCCTCTTTTTATTCCGTTTCAATCTTTACCTTTTCTCATTTTGATTCATGCACATAAGGTTGAATTGTCTACAATTTTCTTACCCACAGTCATAATTTTGTACAGATCACATTTGCTAAAATACGCACAATTCTACTTTCAGTAGTGGAACACCCCTCTCCTAGCCTTTTGTCATGCTTAAAATTGCTAATTCCTTCCTATCCTTTGTTTTAATGTCTCATGGTGAATTTGTAATTTGCCATAGTACATCACATTGCTTAATTTATTTGGCAGCTTCTCAGTGAGAAGCTTTGCCAAAGGCTTTTTAAAAGACCAAATAAATTTCAACTGATTCTTAAGTTCATGATTTTCCTGACATGGTCAAAAAATCTTGGTAGAACACATGAATTTCTTTTACAGAAACCACATGTCCCTATCATCTCTCATTATTTGTATCCTATTTTTTGTCTGTTACACATTTTGGTTGACATACTAACATTTCTGGTATCATAAGCAGTTTCTTAAAATAATATTTTCTTGCTTAGAAGCAACATCCCTGCTGCTTTACCAGCCAATTTAAGTCATGGGAAGTACACACTGGTCTACACAGATGTACCACAGTTAAATACTTGATCCCTCCTAACAGGGTACAATGGGAGAAGGGGTGTAGGAAAGAGTAAAGAGTGACAAAGGCACATCCTACAATTTTGTACTACTGGTGAGGTAGATCTTTTCCTCTTCCTTAAAGTTGGGGTAATTCTTTATACAGACTCTCCCTTCTAGTTGTGAGGCAGGGGAAAGGGAAGAATTAACACTTTTTTTTTTTTTTTTTTTTTTTTTTTGTGGGACTTAAGAGCTATTTTTGGTTATTAGTTTTTAAACATTCAGAATAAGAGGAAATGGTTTTTTTCTGAGAACCTTCATACCTAAGCAAAATCAGAGCACAAGGGGGCTTGGGTGCTGAATCCATTCGTTGCTATATTTGCTTTTGGCTACTCAGCCTTTACTTCCTGTGACCTAGCTCTCACTTTTTTCTTTGCCTACTATAGGTTTTATTTTTCTTAACTTTCAAGTGCATTAACATTTCCATGAGGGGCATCTGTTTAAGCAGCTAGTATGATCAACAATTACTACAACCTAGCCATTCAGCCATACTTGCCTACCTACTAAGTTCTT